CGAGCCCATATATTGCATTGTCGAGCGGCTCGCGAGCGGATCGAGATATGTGAAATTACTAAAATACCCTTGTATATATATGTAATTAATGGTTATTTTACAAAATTTCTTGAAAAAATTCGAGCCGAACTCGAGCCGAGCTCGAGTATTATGAATTCGAGTCGAGCTCGAGTCGAGCTCGAGCTCTTGTATGTTTTGATCGAGTCGAGCTCGAGCACCAAAAATCGAGCTCGACGAGCTCGAGCTCGAGCTCGAGCATCTCAAAAAAAAAAATCAATCCGCTCGATAAGGCCAATGCTCGACTCGGCTCGGCTCGTTTGCAGCCCTAACCTAGGGCTAGTAATTTCATAAGATAGCGAGATTTGATACCAAAGTTGATTAGATGAGTCAGTCGAGAGTGTAGACGGAACTGTGAACTAGAAATTTCTCTTATTTATTCTATTTTATTTTTATCTTTATTTTCTTTGTTTACATTTTATTTATTTAATTAGGATCTTAGTTATTAATCAATCTCCCCCTCTTTTATTGCTTTTATAGTTTCAATTAATACGAGGAAATTCACAATTTGATTCACACTCCCTGTGGGTTCGACCCTTGCTCACTACTACTAGTTGGTAGAAGTCAGTAAGGAAAATATAAATTTTAATTTTGCCGCGTTGCGACGTGCGGTCACATATTATTTAGTTTATTTTATTAAAAGGTAAACGAGTTATCTTACATTACAAAGCAGTCGCACACGCACTTTCCATACGGAGGAACAATAAGAAATAATGAGAACTTACCATGTGATGTTGGCTTGCGAAAGGGACAAGCGGACACAAGGATGTGGACGCAACCAACTTTGGTAGCTGGAAGGAAAGGCGAACTTACCATAATGAGCAGAGATAAAAAGGCTTTGACGCACGACTGAAAAGATGTGAAGAACATATTTATTATTTTGGCAAGAAGAGTGCGTGAGGAGATGTCAGAGAGATTTCATAGTTTTATGAGATTATTTTTATTTTGATGAAGTGGAGACGAGAGTTTGTTATCGATCTTATTGTTGACCATTTATAATTAGAAGAGTGCAAGTATTCGGGAGGAACACTTAGAACAATACGACAGATTTGTTTTGAAAAAATTCACACGAGATTTGTGGTCGAGAAAGTGGTTGTATAGGGGATTACACTATATGCTTAGAAGAGGAAGTCTTTTTTAGTTTTGATTCAATTTTACCCTACTTATCTCTTCTCATTATTACCAATGTAAATAAATCATAGTAGTCAATCATCTTCACATCACATCAACTTCGATTCACTATTCAATCACTCACATATTTTTAACTACCCATCACTTTCAATCACATATCTCATACTTTTACATCACATCAACTTTCATTATAACATTTTAAATATTATTTAAATACAAACTAAAAATCTCACTCAAATCAACTTTATAAGGATTAGTATTATTATTAACATCCACCATTAAAATGGTTAATTATGTTTACCTTCTTCCACAGAAGATGACATAAAGCAACTATGAAAAAACGAGCCAAAGATATTGTCTTTACCCGTTTTTATCCTTGGCTGTAAACTTCTTTAATGGAAAATGATTCACGCCTTTGACAAAGTAGTGTAGCTTTGTAGTGTTGAGCTCTTCAAAAGCACATGTAGTGGCTTTAGTGCAGGCTTTTAACCTATAGCTTTAGTTGTATAATTCACCTTCCATTTTATTCACATGAAAATGATCAATTGGCCCATTGATATTTCACTCCAAGGCTGCTCCATAATTGGGCAAAACGTTGGAGTAGCGCGAATATTTCACTCCAAGGCTGCTAGATATCTGCGCTATATGAGATATATGAACAGTGTTGCGCAGCACCGTAGAATGCGCTAGATTTTTCTTTCTTTTTTTTAGTGTAATATTAGTGATAATTTTTTATATAATGTGTATTAATAAATGTATTTTTATGCTAAATAACTTTTTGCATGTATTTTTTTATGGTGAATAATTTTGTGTTTTTTTATTTATTGATGTATTATAATTTTATTTTATAATTTTTTAATATTAAAATGGTACCATATGAATAAAAATTTAACACAATCAAACAAGTAGATTTTATTTGAAATAAAAAAATAAATATATTTTTATTATTTGTATATAAATATTTATATAAGATTAAATATACCTATATATACCAATTTATTTGAAAAAAAATAAGAATACAAAATAATAAATTTGAAGTAGAATAAAATGTAGAGATAAGGGCTGAAAATAAATGTTCAACTCTACTCTAGAGTAGAGTAAAATTCGCGTTAGAGTAGAGATAAGAGCTGGAGATGGCTTGACACGCAACTTAAACTAACTTTATGGTCTAAGTTTTGGCTTTGTTGAATAATAAAACACATTCACAACACAGTAGCAAAATTTTAATTATCAATTGCATATATGGTGATTTTTATATAAAGGTAATGCTATTTTATATGGTGACTTACATCTTAATTAGTTCATATGCTAGCAATATATGAGATGAGATAACTCCTAATATATATGATTCATAGGTCCATATCCAATAGATGAGTATAGGAATGAATGCACATAAAATGTTTAATATATGGATCAATATCCAATATATTGATTCAAGCTCGTTCTTTGTCATGTTGCTTAAGTTCGAGCTCGACCAGCCAAGCTCACTAAGGCTGGACAATATTATAGAAATGCTTGAGGTCGGATCAAATTATCAGGTCAAGATCGTCTCCAATTTAAGGAGTACTGTACTCGTTTTGAGACCGAATTTAATATAAATTAGGGTTATTTGGCCAATTCTGTATATTCTAGTGGCTTGTCAAACAATTTAGCTTACAAAAACAAAAAAAAAAATAACAAGCTCGAACTCGACTCGAGATACTCGAGCTGGGTCAAACTCGAGCATGAGTCGAACTTTGACTTGAGCACTTGTGATCGGCTCGCGAGCCGCTCTCGACTTGTTTACAATTTTAGTTTTGGACGAATAGAAATGAAAAATTTTCGAATAAACCAAAGTAGCAAGCCCAGACCCATGTCTGATGCTTATACTGTCGGCCCAAATTTATCTTACATTCAATATTCAACCGGGCCTTTTTTTGATTATATATTATTAATCAGGCCCATATAAAGTTCATCAAATTCAACTGCATATAAAACCTTACTAGTACATATCCCGTGCGATGCACGGGGTGTACAAAATTAAGGTTATTTATCAAATGTTATAGTTATATAAATGAATAAAGAAAAATGTATGAGATATATATAGTACGTGACCTGTAATAGGCCAAAATGTGAACACGGGTGATGCACGGGGTGCACAATTTTAAGGTCATTTATTAGTACAGAGTCCGTGCGATGCACGAGGTGCACAATTTTTTAGTATGTGTAATACAAATACATACCGTATGTACAGGACAGAAGCACTAAATGAGTTATTTCCACAAAGTTTGTCCGTTAAGTAGCTCTTGAACACGAGTGCAAAATTTATAGTACGTACTATAAAATCAGAACATATTTCCATACAATTAGATAATAAATTAGATAATAAATAAAGCCTTTTTATTTTAGTAAAAATTTTACGTACTTTTTTTTTTACTTATCGGATGTTATGAGATTTTTTTAAACGATTTTATGGGATATGATACAAATACAATTAGAGGATTGAACAAAATCAGAACAGATTTCTTTACAATTAGATAATAAGAAGGAATTAGATAAGGAAAAAAAAAATTAGATAAAGAATTTTGAATCTACCTTTTTTAGTATAGATAGACTTTATGTACAAATTTTGACTTCATCGATTTTATGGGTTTTGTTTTGACAAAATCAAAGACGAACACTGAAGATTGTTTCTATTAACATTTACAATGTGTATTTAATGTTTTTTTTGGGCAAAATATTCTTTTTAAGTGTGATATATAAATATTAAAAACACTTAAAAAATTTTATAACATCTATAAAAGCATCTAAAATATTCTATATTATTCACAAATAATGTTTGAAGCTACCTAAATTTTTGTAAACTACCCGTAAGGAAAATATGTCTAAAAATTTTTCATTTATATGTATATATAGAGAGAGCAAACGTGTAAAAAAAATTATACAAATAATATTTAAAAGTATCTAAAATATTAGTAATTAGACAGGTGAAATTTAAATTTTTAAAAAATCTATATAGATAATGGATTTATAGTAGTACTTAAACTTTTATTTATTTATGTTTAAAGTTGTTACGATAGATGTGATTTTTTTTACTCTCTGGAGATGGAATTTTATAAGTTGGGTTATGAAATTTTCTTAAACTCGTCTATATCTATGCGATGAGCTTTCTAAGCTGGGTATATAGATTTAAAATTGTAATAAAAAAAAAAAAAACTTTCATAATTGATTTGGTATTTTCGGAGAGCTTCATTAATTTCGGAGAGCTTCATTAATTTAAAAGTGTATAAATCATTTGATTTGGTATTTTCGGAGAACTTCATTAATTTAAAAGTGTAAAATAAATAAATAAAAAATGTACAGCTGAAAAGTTACAACAAATTGTATGGAGAATTAAACTAAATCCAATTTTGTAGGATGTATTAAATATTGATTAGATTTATAAGTAAAATAAAATAATAAAAATAACTGGAATAGTTTTACGTGTTGTAATATTTTATATTTAAAAAATTAAAAAAATCTTCTTTTACGTATTGCATACTAACATTTTAGGAACTACATATATATTCCTAAATTAAAACTGCATATCCAATATTTTAGGAACTAATTAAATGCTAATTTGATTTGCATACCAAAAATATTAGATTCTTTAATTAAATGCTTGATAAAAATAGTAATTCATTAATTAGAGTTGACTATTCTACATACTACATTTAGTAAGTATAGTTTTAATTAATATATATCCTTCTGTGCAAAAATTTGGGAATCTTTCTGCACCATTTTCGGCCAGCTCGAGAAAACAAAACAAACCGAGCTCAACAACTGCCCACGCCATGGCCACCGATTTCAAATCCATCCCTCTAATCGGTAGTTTTTCAAGCTCCCTACATTCTCGAGTTCTTGTTCGGATAACCTGCGGAAGCAATTGTTTATTCCTATATTTTTTTTTTTTTGCTGTTTTTCTGTTGTATAATTTGAATACGTACCAGATATCAGTCCCCTAGTTGAGAAATGTGATGATCCGAACATGGGTCAGGATGAAATGGTAGCAGAAGTTGTGGGGCAATTGGACCGGGCTTGTAGAGAAGCTGGGTTCTTCTATGTGGTACTTTGGATCTTCTTGTTCCCTGACGAAATTAAGCTACTTTTTTATTTTTATGTTTTAATTTGTTTGCTTGGTTTTTATACTGAAAATTGAGCTTAGTTCGGTGGGTCGATTTCAATTTTTGCTCTGTTTTTGTTATGCAGAAGGGCCATGGCATTCCTTGCTCTCTTATAAAGGAGATTAGAAGCATCTCGCGCCAGTTTTTCCATTTGCCGTACGAGGAGAAGCTCAAGATTAAGCTGTCGGGAGCGACTGGATACAGGTTTCGGGCTGTTTGAACAGAATTTGATTTTATGTTTTGTTGGATTGAAAGTTAGAATTGTTCATGTGATTGATGTGATCATTGACTAAAAATGTAATGTGGTTTAGAGGGTATCAAAGAGTCGGCGAGAATGTTACAAAAGGTGTTCCGGACATGCACGAAGCTATCGATGTAGGTTGAGATTCTACTCGTGATTATTATTATTATTATTAACTCATTGCTGTTTTCTTGATTTTTTAGTTTGTTATGTGTCCATAAGCTCTATATGATCGAGTGATGATTAGTAATCTTGTATGAATGCGTCTAGACACTTCACTAATGGGTTGCCTTCTTAAATCTAAGTTCCGTAATACTAAAGTAATGACATTGTTCGCATGCTTCTGTGAATAAGCTGCTCGTTAAAGCTATGTTTGAGCAGTTGATCTCATAGTAGCAAGCACTTATTCTTTTCCCTTTTGCTTAAATGTAACATTGTTGTAGAAGTTGTATTGAATAATTTGAAGACTTCATTCAGTACCGACATCAATTGTTGACCGTGCTGTTTTCTGTTACCGTCAATATTAGTTGAGATTATATGATTTTTATATATTTGTAGATTCTCATACTCCATCTACCCCACAAAATAGACAATGTTACAACTAGTTCGGGACACACGAAGTTAGTCTTGTTTCTGAATTTAGAATAGCTAAAATATGTTCCCTCCATGCCCTCATTCAATTTGCTCGGTTATCACCATGCTTGAATGCTAAAAGTTAATTTTCTTTCTTTTAAAGTGTATAGTAGGAAAATACTGTAAAAAATCATGTTTTATTAGGTCATGTGAAAAAACACACACATGCGTTCTTCTAATATTTACTTTATTGTAGTCTACTTTAAGCAAAACTCTGCTATTTATGTTGTAAATATGTTAGAGAACAAAAGTTTGGCTGTAGCTTGTTTGGCCATAGTTAGTCCCTACAGACAGTGACAAACCTACATTATTGAATTTTTTGTTTCCAGCTCTAAGAAACTTCTCATATAAATCCACACATCATATACAGAAATCATGTCTACCTACAAGAAAGCGGCCATAGAGATATAGTCATATGCATGTATTATGTATACATGCAGAATAAACGTGATTACTCTTTGTATGTTTTTAATTTTGACACTCAGTGCTACAGAGAAGTCACATCCGGGATGTATGGAGGTCTTGGCAAAACCATGGAAGGATGTAATAAATGGTACGCATTTTAAATTAGTCAGTTAGATTGCTAGAGAGGGTTAAAAAACGACAAGTTCTATCCAGAAAGCGAGTGAATGTGTTGCAATCACTACTGTGACTGTGTTTTATGAGTGGTTCTGATTCTTTTTGTATTCGCAGGCCAAGTGACCCTCCAAGCTTTAAAACTTTAATGGAGGATTATATTAGTCGCTGCACAGGTGCTTCATAGATGAAATGTGACACCATTTGGAATTTATTCTTGTGACGATTATATATAAGAAAATTAATGACATAATATGATTAATTGACTTAGATCTGTCGAGGAACATAATGAGAGGGATAGCTTTGGCATTGGGTGGGCCAGTGGACGCATTCGAAGGGAACATAGCCGGCGACCCGTTCTGGGTGCTCCGTGTGATCGGATATCCTGTTGTCCACCATGCGAGTGGCAATCTTATGGCGAACGATAAAAATGATGTGGGATGGTATGTCTGCCATTTTCTACTATGACTTTGTTTGGTTAACTAGTTGATAAGCTAGCTATAGCTGATAGCTGATAGCTATAAGCTAGCTATAGCTGATAGCTTATAAGTGAATTTCGAGCTTATAGCTTATGGCTTATGACTAAAAACTATGTTTTTGGTGCAATTAACTGATAAGTCAGTTGAAATAAAAATTTTAATGGGCTTATTGGAAAAGCTACCCAAAAAACCTTATGAGATAAAGCTCGTGCTTTCGAAAAAAGCTCGTCATACCAAAGCAAGCTTATTTGTATACAGAAAGCTTATAAGCTAATCAAATAAGCTATAACCTAGTGTATGGTGCTTACCAAACACACTCTATGCCTTTTTGGTTTTTTTTTTTTTTTTTTTTTTTCCTTGTCTGGATTTCACTTATCTCTAACAGAAGATGTTGTGTCTTTCTGCATTGATGCCCATCTCTTTTGCTCGGATTAATCCAGTGGAGCTCATACCGATTATGGTACATTTTATTTTTATTTTACAAAAAAAAAAAGTCATGAAAATCTATTTTTTAACGTTTCTTGGATTTACAATGATGATCTTGGTATCTTCTGATCACATTATGCAGGTTTGCTGACATTAGTGAATCAGGATGACGATATAACTGCACTGCAAGTAATATCTTTGAGTGTTATGTGATTATCATTATCATTATTTTTGTTTTTCTCTAAACAAAAGAATTTTCATGCAGAGAATCTTGTGCATTACATTCTTTAGGGGAATTAATCGTGTGTTTTGGAATTATTGAAGGTGAGAAACAATAGTGGCGAATGGATATCAGCTGTACCTATTTCTGGTACATTTGTTTGCAATATTGGTGACATGTTAAAGGTATGCTGAAGCAAAACCTATTCTTTTCAGTCGGCATTTTATTATGGAATGATTCAAAAAATTAAAGGATTTCAAGTTCGCCATAACAAATAATCTGAACTTTTTCCACAAACACTCACTGTCCTGTAAAAAAAAACTTTGTATCCTTGAGATCATACGTTTAAGCTGTATTTTGTGCAACTTTGAATGGAACATTTGAAATCACAACCTGCCGACTCAAATTCAAATCGATCAAGCTAAATGCGATCTTATCTTTTATTTTCACACACACACACACACAGAGTGACACGTGTACATGCATATTCAAAATTCTGGTAAACTGCAGATACTGACAAACGGTCTATACGAATCCACTCTTCATCGGGTCATCAACACCTCCCCAAAATACCGCATTTGTGTCGCATATTTTTACGAGGTTAAATTTTGCTGCAATTACACACACACACACACGCGCGCGCAAACTTTCCTCTCGAGCAAGTTATTATTTGTTATGTTTTTCACTTGTATTCGTTTTTTTCTCAATGATCAGCCAAACTTCGATGCGGCTGTAGAGCCACTGGAGACGTGCGTGGAGAAAACGGGCGGGACCCGCAAGTTCGAAGCAGCTGTCTACGGCAAGCATTTGGTCAGTAAAGTGCTGACTAACTTTGTACTGTAGGTTTTGATTACCAATATTTCCATTTTCTGTATTTACCTGTTGAGCACCTTATTTTGTTATGGTGGATACTACTAGTATAAAATAACATTTTGCATATTTGCACTCACTAGTATGTGTTTATGTCAAATTGCAAATGAACTCCTCACTTTTCAATTAAGCGTAATATAGATTTAACCCGGTCGGTCTAATTGTTAGGTGGGGTCGACTCGACCCAATCCGAGCCGTTATTTAGGTCGGCATTTCATGTATAGACAAATATAAGACATCAATATATTAAGTTGCGTACTTGCGTGTGCTAATAGTCTATTAGCATCACCCACAAATCTTTGTCAAAATTCTCAAGCTCTAGATAGACATATGGAGATCAATAAAATCTCCATTGATAAGTACAAGTTGAAGTATTTTGCCTTATTATAAAATTTGCATGCAGCAGCGAAGGGCAAATTGAATCGAGTAAAAACCTGGGAAAACAGTTGTAGGCCCTTTGTGAGCTATATGACTTATCTATCAATCAAACCCAGCTGCAAATTTTGACTTTGAAGCACTCTTTTTCCCACATCAAGAACAAGGTTGAATTCAATGCACATTATATGTCAGGGAAATGTTACGGTCCCGTTACGGAACCATTCTGTCGGGATTTGTAACCGTTGGGGATATTTAATCTAACGATTACAAACCCCGACAAAATGGTTTTGTAACGGAACTGTAGCATCTCCCTATACTTCAATGCCATGAGTTGAGGTTTTATATGCATTGTTGATTGTTGAACCCATTAATTTTTACATTAATCATGGGCCAATTAGCACTAATAAGGTATGGCAATGTCATTTGTATGTAAAATATATACAAACTATAACTACCAAGATATAAGAAGAAAGAAAATTGAGTCAAAATTAGTGAAAACCCATAAGGAAAAGGAAGCACTTTAATTGTGTTGCTTGTAGTTTGCATTAAAACAGAGGAAGTCGTACACTTCTACACCACACTCATCTAACTTTGAGTAAATTGGGCGTCCCAACTGCCAACTCCATTTCCTCTTTTAATTTGCATGGTCAATCAGTTGTCCTATATTTTATGAGTAATTTTTTCTTGTCCTTTTCGGGCACTTGTTAAATGAGTTGAGCTACTTTTATTTTAGTCATAAAAATTATGATCAAAATGTATAAACAATTATTAGATTTTATAGAACTGTGGGAAGAGGGTGCGGTCCCACATAGGTGAAACGCGCCGTAAGAAGATGGGGTTAAGTGCACCATAATGATGTTTCATCTCAAAATCAATTGGTGATTGAAGGAATAGCCACTAGGCTTATAAGGTAGGCTCTCATTTACCCTGTAGAAACAATGTGAAACGACTCACAAGTGACATTCTAATACGCCCTCTAACTTGTGAGTCATTCATAAGCTCATGCTCAGAGCAGGTCGGGTAAATAGTAAGCCCAAGCCCAGAGCAGGCCGGGTAAACCAAGACGGAGTTGGCCCGACTCTGATACCATATTAGATTAAAGAGAATAGAAGGAAGATGTTGTAGTCTCACATATATGAAGCACACCGTAAGAGAGTGAGCTTAGGTGTCATAGCATAAGAAAGTTTCATCATAAAATCAATTAGTGATGAGAGGATTAACACACTAGGCTTATAAGCTAGACCCTCATTTACCTTGTAGAGACAATGTGGGACGATCGGACAACTCACAAGTGATATCCCAACAACAATCTATTCTTACTGCATGATGAAAAAGAATTTATATTAAATATTGAGAAAGAAAGTAAATATTAGATACATTTTGACAGTCCAGGCGGCACATGGTGTCGGCTTTTTTGAGCAGCCTCTTCGGCCGTGGCTTACCCGAAACATCACCATACCACGACTGGGGACCTTTGCAAATTGGAGTGGACTTTTATCAATAGTGGTCTGGTGTGCGTGGCTCTGGAGAAACGACCGCATGTTCAATGGTCGTACCTTGGGTTGTGAGGCTCGGCGAGTCGAGGTTTTGTGTCGGCTGGAGTCTTACACTAAGGTCGTCTCAGCTTTTGCAAAGAAAGGGGCGGATATGCCCTATTTTGAATCACGATCAATCTATTGGTCCCCGCCGGATCCTGTGTGGGTTAAAGTTAATACCGACGGCGCGTTTGACAAAACTTCTGGACTCAATAGTGCGGGTGGGATTATTCGGGATGAGCTAGGTCGATGGGCTACGGGTTTTCTTATTAACATAGGGTACTGTACCATAACAGTGGCGAAATTGTGGAGTCTTTTGCTTGGGCTACAACTTGCATGGGATATGGGGTTTCGAAAGGTTATGGTGGAGGTTGATAGCAAATGTGTGCTTCAAATGATAACTGGGACTGGCAGCAGTTTTGGTGTGCACGAGGCCTTAGTCAAGGCCACTCGTCAGTTGATTCAGCGAGAGTGGTATATTCAAATTCGACATGTGCATCACGAGGCAAACTTTGTGGTTGACCACCTGGCGAGTTTAGTCGCCTCTTGGCCAATTGGTTTTCATGTATTGACTTATTCTCTCCCAAGTTTGAGAGATTGACTTGTGCATGATGTTATCTGAGTTCCTTATCCCCGCTGAGTCTTAGTAAAAAAAAATAAAATAAAATAAAATAAAAAGAAAAGCTACCTTGCAACTTGGAATTGTCAAAATTTGACGGTACGTAATGCTTAATTATAATACAAAAACAAACAAATCATTTGAGATTTGAGCCAGTCCAAATCCCAAAAGGAGGAATTAGGATTACAAAAGACAAAAGATTAATAGCCAAAAAAAAAAATAAATTTTTAAAGCAAAAGCAAACATTATAATAGCGTAAAGAAACATAATAGACAACCATAATCACCCAACTTTCCCCCCTTTGAAATTATCGTCCAAACACACACCAAATCCACCATATACCTCTTTCTTCTTTTTCCACATGATATACAAAACACAAGTTGATACGAAATGCACTCTAATTAATTAATTATTTTTAAAAAAAAAAAAAAAAA